CATAACTTTACTACCTTAACGAAATAGGGTGAATACATCTTATATACTATTTACTTTGCTGGAGATAAAAATCATATTTACGTTCTGTGCCATCAAACGGAAGCAGAGCTAAATTTGGTTTCTTTTTTGGTCTCTCGGACATTAACATAGGAAACACCCAAGAAATTGTATTTACATGAAAAAAAACAGCATGATTTATGGCCGAAAATATTCATAAGCAATAAGGCATATATATGCATTTTTAGCTTCTCATCAGGCTATTTACGACCCATTATGAAATTATACGCTAGTTTATGTGCACCATAATGTTGGTGAGCGCTAGAAGTTACTAAAGGGAGGCATGAGAAGTGAGCCAACGATAGTCACATACTATCGTCGGGGCGGAAGAAATGGTATTTTCGTACTTTGGCAACAGATTGATGTCTGACTTGGTGCGATTAGAGTGTCGCTCCACCACTGGGATTAGGAAGAACTGGCTGGGGTATGTAGAATGCCTAAAACGCCTGTTGCCACCGCGAATGCTGGCGTATGAACCAACGGTCAGTCTCACCTCATCGCTTGGCAGTCGCCTCGTAACTCTCGAGTTGACTCCGTTTTGTTCCTCTTTTGCACATACAGTCTGACATAGCATTTTACAATGAGCAATTGTAGAACCCGTTTCCGGCGTATAACAAGTCCCGAACTAAGAATTCAATTACAAACTACTCGCAGTTTACAAGGAACAAAGAACTCACTTTGATGGTGTGAAAGTCTTCCCATTTGCCTTACCGGCTCTTCATGGTGTCTGTAGGAGGTTAGAAAGATAAAGTGCCCTTGGCTTAGAGTGGTGGAGGGATGGGCAAAGTTTGGCGTGATTTTCTCTTTCCGATAAGGGTGGTCTTCATAAAAAATCGACATTTCAGACATAGCAAAAAAAAGAAGAATATAAATTTTTTCCTAGTTCACTCATAAACATGAAGGCAGCCTCCTATCCCTCTAGTGACGTGTTTTAACTCTGCTTTCGCAACTTGGGCGTGTTCTCAGGGCTACCTACTATAACTGCCCTTGTCCCAATTCCTATAAAATAGTATGTATGACAATTCACGTGATGCATTCACAAGTCTACGTCGCGACGCTGTGATTGATCATAACTAAAAAAGCAGAGAAC